GAGCATGTAGACTGTATTATCCTGCTAGGTAAAGACGCTGACAGAATGCGTCTCCTGAACGTGGTGAACGGAATCCCGCGTGCGCTTGGCATGCGTTTCGCACCTGTCAAGTGTAAGATGATGCCCCACGCTTGGTCTGTAAACACTCCCAGTTTAGTGAAAGAGAGTGAAGTGATGGAATTTGTGGGCCACTTCACTTACTTACGGAGTGGCATCGGTCCAAACAGCCTAGTTGCCGATGAGGTCTCAACCCGACTACAGAAGGCCTGTGCCGTACTTACCAAGTCGTCCATGGCCCTAGTGCGATATCCGACTAGCTGTCAAAGAACGCGAATACTCCACTTAAGTCCATTCTGTCCTGTTATACGGTTGTGAGACATGGCAGCTAAAGGCAGAAGACATGACGCGATCAGAGAGCTTTGACCACAGATGTATTTGGGGCGTTTCTCGCATGCGGTTGAATCACCGTGTGAACAGTGTTGTAGTCACTTGGAGAGTAATAGGCAAGACAAACAGGTAGACTGGTGGGTCCGTGAACCCAAGTCGTTTGAGATGCCTTGGATGTGCGCTGCGAATGACGAGCCATGCTAGGGGAAACTGGATTGGGTTGGAGGAGGGTTCAGGGTGCCCAGACTAAGAGGCGACACCAGTCGATGAAGTCTCTGGCCCTGTGGTTAGATGCGGACTAGCGGTTTTGGTGTCTCAGAGACCACAGCGATCAGTGGATGTGAGCTCTTTGTGATACGGGAGACAATTGGTCACAGTGGTGCAGGTGTGTTCATTCCCTGACACCCTCGAAAGCTTGTATATCCACACCAACCTTTATCTTTGGACTGCCTGTACTGTCACATGACCTTGCTTACATTGGTGTAACTTCTTTTCCAACTACCTGTTCTTCGTATTCTACTTTGATTTGTGGCGAGTTTAACCAGTGGCTTATGTGTCAGGTCCCAGGTTAATCTTGTCAACCAACCAGTCAACAACGGATTTCAATCCAGGGCACAAACCCCCACCGTTAGATCTGCTCTGTTTATACGTTCCACTGCCACGATCATACTTAGTTGCTTGCGGCCTGAAAATAATCAGAAAATGTAGAAAACCCAGTGGCACCTTATCAGACTTATTTACCCCGGTAATTCATACAAAGGCAGATGCCATGCTAATGGATTAGAGCCTATGTGGTTGAAGCGAAAATGGTTGAACTTCAGCATTTTCCATAAAGTCCTACACCATGAAGTGACTACCGTGTAAATACAGTAAAGTTCGCTGACAAGGCATCCCACGATTTTAGAGACCAAGACTGCTTAGTCACACTACCATATGCGTCCTAACAGCTCAAATCCTCGTTTTTCAAAACTCGTTACGCTAACATTTCGAACAGACTGCCATGTGATGTCCGATGCTGCAGGACCATATCTCGATTTCAGTCAACCTTGAGCCACTACCCCAGTGAACTTAAAGTATATACCCTACATAGACGACACTATGTTCCTTATTAGCCCACCAAGTATCTAGAGTCCAATACGCAATAATATAATGCAACCTCCCAGGAATTTATTAAACGGTAACTTTTGTTGACTGACATACTGTTGAATGCAAATTCGTGGCAGTTGTGTTTGGTGCTAGCTGCTATTCCCGACCTCATTGCCAACACAGTTCAGCTACTGTTAACCCACCCTACAAACAAACGTTCCACCCACCATTCCCTTTTCTCTTTGTAATAAGCTAAGAGTTTTTGTGCCGTACGGTGGTACAAGTCAGTTTCGCGTGATTAATCACGCTTGGCCATGGCATGAGTGGAGGTACATTGGTCATAAGTGCTGTCTGATGTGCGGTGTATACCAAGGGACGGCTGAGTTAGTAATGTATGCACGGTCTTAGCCAGCTGATAGTGGACTGGAAATATCCTCGTGATCATCAACGCTATCGAGTGTGGCACGAAAATATTTAAAAAATTAGCGTGAAAATATGCTGAGACGGTGACAACCGACCAACGTCACGACTTCAGGGAGATAAACTGGAACTGCCCTTGCCTGTATGGTGATATCTTTATGAAACCAGCGGCTCTTGTATCTGGCATGACAAAATACTAGTAAAAAGAATGATGTAACCAAAAAGAGCTTGCCATGACTACCAGCTCAGCTCACTCCGCTCCACCGTATTGTCTCTGTGGCCCTGATATGATAACAGTCAACACCATGATCATCCCTTACCCATGACTATATAAGTCTGGCTACCATTGTAGCAAAGTCGTGGGTTTTATTCAAACGTTTATGACTTTGTTAAACTCTTGTGCATAGGTTTTCTACATATTAGCGAATACCTGGTACAAAATCCTCTATTCTTTCTATTCCATAGTGATATCTTCGGCTTCAGTTTATTTCCACTTCTTTTGTATGTACCTTCACCTTCTTCGCCATACCCTTGCCTCTAAACAGTGGGTTTTGAATACTTCTTCCAGTAACTTTTATGGTCAGTACAGAGAACTCACCTTCATGTATCATGGTTAATATACTCCCGCTTAGTATTTTTGCACTCCCGCTTCAAATTTCGCCTGCCGCTCACTTTTGTCATTCATTTTCCAGGTTTACCTAACCAGTCCTTCATCCATGTGGAATCCTAGTAATCGCACTTGTCAGTGTGCACCATGCCATCAAAACTATGACGAACGTACACGATCCAAGGTCACTGCTGTACTACCCAAACTACCTTCAAGAATATTGGAAGATCCAAACAACAGCCGAATAATTCCTATTTGCCATCTGAGCTTGCTTCAGTGTGCTGAATAATTATGGTGGTGTTTATCTGTTTTATTCTTTGCTGTATGCGGAGCATTAACGTTCTTTCTCTAGACACATCTCTTATGTGTTGTGAATGACAGTACCTAATATACAGCCTGACAATGTGCATAACAGTCGGTTCACATTACCAAAATAATCAGACCAATAAACTGGTTTGTTTTCACGTGGCTTATGTTGTATGAAATATATCATTATTATTATTGTTGTGATCAGTGATCAAATAGGCTTTGCTTTTGGAACGTCTGACTTCATTTGTTAATCCAACATACCTTGACCCCACATCATACGATTCGGTGCGTTTGCAGTTGGGGGCGCTGTGGCGTCAGCTGACTGGCTCGTGAGTACGCATCGGATCGCTAGTAAGGTTCTGGAGGAATTTGAGACCACACGCATGAGTGTCACGTATCCTTCTATCTGTGGATCGACACAATGGAAACAACCCACAGATCCCCCCGGGCAGAATATCAGACTTGAAGTTGTCAAGGGTTATATCGAGATCATTACATAAAGATAGGAAGCGATATTTTTAACTTGGAGTGCTGTGGAAACATGTAAAACTTTCACCACTGAAAGTTTCATTGAGTGTGAAAAGTGCTTAGTTTATAATTTTACCGGCCGTTCCGAAAACTCAATCTGTTTTTCGGTGTGAAACTAGGCATTAGCAGTATTGTACATGGTGAAAGCTGAAAGTTGATGGAACTACCTCAGAGAGGCTTATTCTGCTGATCGTAAGGCATATATTAATTATTATCAGGGCTATTTTTTGACGATCGGTGTCTGTTTCGGCGGACGGGGAGATGACGTTTGAACTAATAAACTGAAGTATCGTAAGCCACTTGTCTATGGTGAATTACGCCTTGCTCTGTTACTGGAATTCGGTAGCCACGTGCAGGAAGTTTCGGCGTCTCTGTCCCAGACTCCGTCTCATAAGGCGTAAGACGGCATGAAACACCCCATCATCAAAGGTGATGGCAAGTAACTAATCACTGTCTATCACTCTGTTAGGTTTACTTTTATAGTTGTCGAAGTTTTACAGAATATGATCAGGAATAAATCACAGATTCACGTGAAAAAAGTTTGTTTCCGTAAGCACAGCCAGGTTTCTGACATAGGAGCTCTTGTCTGACGGAGTAAACTTGACTACCTCGTGGTTTGGTGCTTATTTACTTCATGAAGGCATTTGACAGGGTGTCTCATTCTGACTTGCAGAGAAGCCTCTCTGAATTTATTGTAGGTCCCAACATTCATGAGTGGTCTAAGGATCAAGTTTCTGATAAGAGGCTCATGGAAAGGGTGAACTAAGTGCTCTGTGGAGGACAACTGGCTACGAATAACGTTCCTAATGTTGCTGTACTGGGAACTCTTCTGTTTCTCCTTCATGAACCAATGAGGACGCCGTAGTTATCATCCTAAGACGTGGGGATAGCGACCCTACCCCTTGAAACCAATCCAACCGCAAAAGAAACTTCAAAGTACGGATTAAATGTAAAAAGCGGTGTATATATAAAAAGTAATACATATATATGTATAAAATATAAACAATAACTTACTCTTCGTTGGAACCGGGGAGTGTCAAAATGACACCGGTTGGTGAAAGCCTTGGGAAAACCGGTCGGCCAATGTATCTTGTCTCAATGAAAGCAGGAGTAAGTATGGCGACGCCTGCTTCAACACTACACTTTTAGTGCCGCAAACCTTTATCAACCTCATTCAGGAACTATATGATGATGCGGCATCCCAAGTGATTCACAGTGGAAGTGGTGCCTTTGAAGTGAAGACAGGAAGGAGTAAGGCAAGGTTGCCACCTAACTGGTTTATTTTGTCTGAAGTTCGGGCATTGTCTTGGTACATACCTCTTTTCTGAAAACTCCTATTATTCTTATTTCTTTTAATCATCTTTCTACTTCTGTTACCCTTGTTTCTGTGATACAATACAGTGCGGGAAATCAAAATGCACTACTTTTGATCCGAGTTCCTACTTTTCTTCACCTGTCATCATGAGGTAATGAATTTCCATAGTGTTCTTTGTTCCAGATGAATAACATGGGCACAAAACTTTTGTCTTTATTCATCTATGTGTTATAATATCGATTTCCTTTTTCACTAAAACTTTCTGATTGTCACATTTTTAGCATGCTTCATGAATATTTTCAAATGAGTTCCAAAATATTCATCTAGATAAAAACCGAATTTTTTCGAATGGAATTCATACTCAGTCAACAGCATTATACAGATGTGTGGAAGTGATTCTCATAGATAAATTTATTTATACATTTTATTTTAGATCAAGACGACAAGCAGGAATTCTGCTCATATGTTACTACTGTCATCTAAAGTAGATGCAAAGCAACGGAAATGCAGATTAATCGTAGCTGATAACTCTGGCGAAATACATTTATTTCATTACATCAATGAACTAAAAGTAAGATAGTTTGAATACACTTATTTTCCGACATTTCACAGCACTTCAAATTCTCTGTGGAACCACCTATTACATGTATTCGGTTGGGATTAGATCAAAATGATGCGAAACAAAGGATATTCATTTGTCATAATTATAAAATATCTGTATTTTCACTTAAAGGAAAACAGATTTTCCAGCATAATTCGAATATTCAAGGTTATGTGAACTCAATGTAAGTCAGCTATTATTTTAGACATATACTGTCTAGGTTTATACAAACAGCAGATATTTATTGTGCTGTTGGATGCATGTTTCAAAAGTTAACCAATTTCAAGGATACAGAATTCCTTTTACTACCAGATTTTATCACAAGTATTTATGTGATCCAAGATGGTATTGTTTGTTCACTGCCACTTGTTGTACTCACGTGTAAAGACAAATTAATACGTGTATTAAAAGTAAGTGTACTATAAAGTTAGGGGTTTGTGGGGATTTTATTTTTAAGTTTGTATTAATCACGGATTGACATGAGTTGAACCATTAAAAATCTGGCAGCACTGGACAACTCTTGCTTTCTTAGTACGAGACTTCTCAGCAGTACGCACCTACAACCCCACTGGGGATCGAATCAAGGACCTTCAGGTTTCATGTCGAATTTGCCAATAATTCAGCCTCTGAGTCAGAGTTCAGTGGTCCACAGTCTCCTACTTCGGTTGATTCATGATATATACAAAAGTCTTCTTTTGGCATCCGTTTCTCTTCCATCTGGTTGACCGCACTGGTCATGCCTTCTTATTGGGACTTCAGGATATCCGTCTCGATGAATTCAACCTTAGAAATAAAAGTCCCATAAACCTCAAACTATATTACTCTGTATAGCTCATTAACGACATACTTCGCGATGGGTATTCTGAAGTTCTGTTGAGAAGCTGTGATCAGTGCGGTCAACCAGTCGGAAGTGAAGCGAATACTAGCCAAAGACTTTGCTGGATAGTTGCGCTATATAGCGAATTGACTTCAGTAGGAGACTGGGAACCATTAAACGCCAACTCAGTGTCTGAATGGTCAATTCGTTCACCATTAGTTTGACTCCTGGTGGGATCTTTGGTGCATACTGCTAAGGTTTCCCATACCAGGAGGAAACAGTTGTTCAGTGCTCCTAGATTATCAATAGTTCTCAGATTGATGTGAGTCCGTGAGGAGTACAACCTTAATAAGTGTACTATAGTTAAACTTCTGTTAGATTTAATCGTCCTAGTATATCGCTTTTCTTCTTTGTAGAATGGAGCAGTCTCCTGTGAATTGGAAGTTTCAAGTTCTCCAGTATGCTTGAATGTAGCAGATAAAAGTTATCCGCTGAATTATTTAATGTATGGAACATTCGACGGGCAGTTTGGCCTTATCAAAGTAACCAGGTAACACAATCATTAATCACTTGTAATTACCTCATCAAACTGTTATATAGAAGTAGGCAAAGGTAGTAAGCTTGCTTTAATGTATTAAAATGATTCAGAACTGGATAACAATGCATACATCTCGAAATTAGTTGAATTAATTATATTGGTGACTACTATATGACTAGGTAGTTCTAAAGAGTCCAATAAGTTATTAGTGATTACCATTCGTCAGCCACTATAACATCATCTGTCTAACTGATAAGATGTCTACTAGCCATTCAAAAGGTAAGTGCCCATCGTAGTAGTCTTCTTTGTTCATCTGTGTGACCATGAAATGCAGGCGTTGGAGGTCGAGGACATCAGTAAGTCAGTTTTCCTGTTTTATATCTTCTCACCATACTGCTTGTGTAGTAGAACTGCCGAACAAAGTGTGTGTGCGTTTGTGTTCAAGCCTAAATGTTGGCATGCTTATTTTTCACCTAAATCACTGTGTTCACCGGTCATTGTCTTGAAGCTGGTATGTAGATACTTGCTAAGCAGCCGACGGGTCACATGTTCGGAAGCCGCTCCACCTACCAAGGCAGGGGAAGCCAGATGTTATCATTAGCTCTCATACAGTAAGTGTGGTTCACTGCGTACTGCACGAATGAGCATGAGAATGCTAAGGATGTTTCAGTTTTTTCAATTCAACATCGTCGCTGAGTGTAACTTAACAGTACTGACCGATTTGCATCTGAAAAATAGGGGCAGTATTGGCTTTCTGGAATTCGCAGATATCGCACAGTGCTGAAAACGAAACATGAATCAGTAGGTGTGGATGGTAACCAGTTCTTAGTATTGATCACTTCTATTGATTAAGTATGAAATGAGGTCACTTAGTTAGACATGTGGTTGTTACATTGTACTAGATTATGTATTGAATGGTTGGAGGAATCGTGCAAAAAACCCTGCTTTAGTTCACCTTCTTGAATCCCTACACTGATCAATAAAATGTTTTTATAACCTAAGGTTCAATGTCCTGACTTTGACTATATTTTTAATTAATACAATGTTGAATAAAACGTGACAGGATGTCAAATCATTTAACTTAATGATTATGTCTCATATGTGATCAACAGAATTCGGTCCGCAATGAGGACTAGAAAATTACGATCGATCACTATCCTTCCTGACATAACAATGTGCCTGGTCGAATCTTACACGCAGTCAATAATGACCTGATTAGTTCAGTTGTAATGTTTCTAACTGTGGTACGGTGCTACATGAGTTTGAGTTTTTAAGAGAGCCTTAGCTTTTGCAGTGTTTCAGAAACCTGAGGGTGGTGCGTCTGATCCATGAGGGGATGCTGGGTGCGCGCGGCTGAGGAAATTTATACCAGCTGTCCAGTGCTCTCAGGTTTTCAGTGATTTGGTGGTGAGTATCAAATTGAAATTTAAAAAATTGCCATGAAACCCCAAATTTAAAGAATAATCAATCTTTCACTTGACCTCCAAACCAACAAGTTTACTTTACTGTGTCGATTGTTTTTAAACCTATACTTCCTTGTTATAATTCACATAAATAGGCTTTACAAATATATGTGTGATCAGATTGTTGAAAATGTGTTAAGCTAACCCCTCACATATTTTAGATTGTCTACTTGCTCAAATGGCTTTCTTCGAAATTTATCAAGGAGACTAACTGTATCAACAGTCACTTAACCGGGATTTATCATCACTTCCCGCCAGACGCCTACAATCACCCATTATATGATGAGAAAGATCAGTTTGTTTGTTGAACTTTTAATTTGGCAAATATATTAAAATCCGTTTATAAATCATGAGTTTTTCAACTTCTTTATGATATCTGTTTTAGTAAAACTATATCAAAGATATGGGAAGTCTCATCGAAATCTGGTTCAGATGAAGTCCTATCTCTTGAACATTACAATATGTTCGATAATAGTGGTGGACACGAGGAATTAATTGTTTCCTATACAGGAGGGAGAATTGAATTGTATACTTATGATCAGAATCAATATCCTTCACTGATTTATGAAACTGTAGGTGATATTTCATTTCCGTATAACCATTGAGCTACTTTGTGATAGGGTGAATTTATCATTGATAGTATAAGCCTTGGAGGCACCCCTAACTCGTGTAGTTCAGCATGTCCATATTACGAGTAAGACTAAAAGTTATCCTCAGGTGTTACAGCATTCTACCTGAAAACATGTATTTTATGTGTTCTGTATGGATAAGTTCTGAAGTGAACAGACCAATCATAAATCCTTTCGGATGTAATTTAAAGCCTCAACTAACTCACTGTGATCTGTGATCATCATTCTTCTTAAATAATTGTATTTATTTTTCGTTTAAGAAGTTGAAATGAAGCCATGGCTACAACACTTTGCACATGAATAAACGATGTGAAACACGATTCAATGACAGACAACACTGTAAAAACTAATCAAATAGGTAGAATGCTAATACAGAACATAGGAAGTGTCCGTATTTACAGTGAACACGAAAACACTTGAGGACAACTTTTAGCCTCGCCCTCACATTACCATGGATCTCTAATCCATTTAGCTTAATGCTGTTAAGTGTGGCCTTGTCATTACACTTAAACTTCAGACACTTTGTTAATTGTTGCATTGTCCGCACTTTAATGCACAAGGTTTGATATTTGACATTAATCTCCAACTTTAATTTCCGGTTGTCGGAAATTATTTTTTGTTTAGATAGTGTTAAAAGGATGCGCAAATTAGATCGAACGTTTCGCATTAAAATACAGATGATATAACAACTAAAACAGCTTAACAAGGCTAAACACATTGACGAGACCATACTTAAAAGCAGTAAACCAATATTGATAACCGTAAGTCCTTTATGGTTATGGTTATCAGTAGGCAGCATTCAAAAGGAAATGATAGCCACTTTGAATCTGTCATATTAGGAATTACAACATCATCGAATCATACTGACTCTTTTTTAATGGCCCTCTGCCCTCAATTACCTTTCCTGAATTGTTTCGTTTAATTAACCTTATTATTACTATTCATCTCAATGTAAACCTGGTTTTCCTACGATGTCGCTTTAAGTGACTACTAACTATCTTGTTCTCAATGACATAATCTACCGTCAGCCGATTTACTTCTCACCTTAGTGTTAGGTCGTTATTATTATTATTTTCTTACATGAGATACGCAGGATTCTTCAAATTACACTATTATCTAGACTCGTAATTAGTTAGGTAGCCTATCTTCAATGCATTCAATGTGAATATTCACTCTTACCTTTTGCATTACCACTTGACTTTTAAAAATTGATCATTTCTATGTTGTTACACCGAAATCGATGCCTCAGTCTACGTTATATATGTATGTACGTTTTTCACGATTGCTTAATGGTATTATGTAATCAAGCGTGTAGAGTATCCAGCTGACGAATACTACTGAAATTTATGAACTCAGTAGATCTTGTTGTTTTCACATTCGTTGGCTGATTTAAATTTTTATCTTAAGGTAATTGTTTTCAATTTTTAAAGCAAGTGAAATAGTTTAGAATCAGAATATTCCTTTAGTTTTTCATACGAGGTTATGAATAGTACTGTCTATTTACTAGTAACTGATAAATTGATTTGAATCCAAACTAAAGATGTTGCTAACCTACTGAAGTTATTCGAGCACTGACCTTAATTATATCAATCTAGAGTTGTTTTGATGTAATCCCGATATGTTTCAAATATGGAATCAAGATTTAGTCAAAATTATATTTAGTAAAACAAACAATGTGAGCGAAGAAATATTCCTTTTCAATTAGTTCCTCATCAATGGCTCTACACTAATATAGCATATTCAAAACGTAAAATTACATACCAATCTAGTGGTGAGAGTTGTTCAGTGAAAGGTTATCAATCTCAAAGTATCAAGAAGGTGATAATTGATCAGGTAATTAAGGCAGTTAACTAAAGCAAAGATTAATTATCATAGAAAGATTTTGTCAACAGGTTCTTACATAATTGATATTTTGTATAATGATAACTAAAGAGCAAAAACGAACTGTTACGTAAAATGGTAAATTGTTGACGGAAATTAGAGACAGTAGGGGGAGAGAAAGATGGTTAAGTCTGTAATAATAATAGTAATAATAATAATGGAGCTATTAAAATATTAGTTATAGTGAATTGTGCGGTGGATGAAATGAAGAGTCTTGTTGTAATAAATGAGCTACACAGATGGCCAAGGCAAAGAAAGAGGCTGTACGAATCTCTTCTGAACATACAGACTTGGCTTGTGTAGGTGGATTCCTATGGCTTCTGCTGTATGTAAAAGACGAACTCGTAGAGGATGGGTGAGGTGAGAAGGAATGTGATAAATAACTTTAAAGGCACTATGAATGTTAACTCGGTGGCCGGTGTCAATCAGATGAGAGAGTATTGAGCTTCGTGTCAATCTGGTTTCCCCCTTACTTAGCCATGAAGGATGATGCTCGGCGATTCAACGACGGACTTGCCTAACTGTACGTCCAATGTAACTAGCTCCACAGGAGCAGTTGAACTGGTAAATGCACGTAAAAGAGGAGAAGTCAGGGAGTCTGTCTTTAGTTCGTGCGGTCATCATCGGCCGGCTGTAGAAAACACAACATAACTTGGTGGCATTAAATGATCTTCTTATGGCATTTCTTAAGCGTTGTGTCACAATTTCGCTGATGATGTCACCTGGAAATTGTAGTCTTAAAAACAATGGTTTCTTGGAGACTGTAGGCATTCTGGTTTTCATATTGAATGTGTTCATATTTTTAGCCAGGAACGTTTCTGGATATCCATTACTACTGAGTAGATCGTGGATAACTTGAAGCTCTTCGTCAAAAGTATCATCTGAACAGATGAGTCTCGCCCGATGGACCAAACATTTAACGAGATTTCGTTTATATTGCAAGGGGACGAAACTCAAGAAGCGGGTGTATTGACCTGTTGATGTTGGTTTCCGATACACACTTCTTTTTATAGTTCCATCCACCTTCCTTGTCAATCGGACATCTAAGAAGGTGATGCTGTCGTCACTTTCTGTTCCAATAGTAAAGGTTATTGCTATATTATTGTAGAGCCATTGATGAGGAACTAACTGAAAAGAAATATTTCTTCGCTCACATTGTTTGTTTTACTAAATGTCTAAATGGGAATTTCCGCATTACTGAAAATTATATTTGTATACACATAGAATATACTCCTGTTTTCAGTCAAATTTCAGTAATTCTCTTGAAGAAGTCTTGGTTTACACAACAAAACTTTAGGAGAAATAAGATCTTGTTTTCATTTTCCGATTAGTCTGTATTTATACTAAAACAATTAATGACTGAAATGAATTACAAACTCTCATTGGAAGTGACATAATAACAAATGGTATATGAGCGACAGCCTGAAAGACACGTTAACCGAATTATCGCAAACAAATAATTACCTCAATGACAGTCAGATGACTCGATTGTAATTCAAAATGTAGTTTATCTTAATAGGATAGTAAGATGTTTATAAGGTTCTATCATTCTACGCGTGAGTTAAATAGGGTGCTTTCGATGACAGAAAACAGCACATACTGATACAGTAGTATTTTTACTTGGTGACGTTTTGAGCATAAATTACTGTTCATAGCCATATCAACATGTTCACCCAACTTCTAGTAGTAGTAGTAGTAGTAGTAGTGTGATTTTCCACATCTCCGGTGTTGGTGTTGTATCATCTCTGTTACATATGTTGAGTGTTGATTCGATGAACAAAGATCAACCTCTTTTGTTCAGTAGGCTGCTTCTCCACCTTCTTTACATTGAAATGAAGTCAATCTTGTTTTTAGTATGTCCATCTGGTGACATAAAATCCATGTCGTTTTTTGAATATCCTTGTGCTTGTACACACTGCCTCGCCTCCAATCATCAAATCACTAAAGGCGCAAATGTCTGCAAGGAGTTCTCCATTCTCATTCATTTCACCAAGTGCTTCTCTACCCATGATGAGTTCTCTTTCTGTGTTGCCTGCTTCCAGTTTGGCATTCATATCAGCTGTCATAATTTTGATGCCGCCACCTAGAGTCTTGTCCAGTACTGATTGCCGTTGTCTATAGAATTCCTTCTTCTTCTGTTGATCTGCATTGTTTGTAGGTGCGTAGCGTAGCATTATGTGATTGTGACTTTCCTTCTTTTTGGGTTGAATTTTGCCGTCATGATCCTGGAAGAGATTGGCTCCCACTGCACGAGAGCCTTCGATGTTGTTGGGGAAATCATGATAGCCACTCCAAAACTCGGTATGCTCGTGGTTGTCGTCTGGGTGACCAGAGTAGGTTATTGGCTCTCAAGTTAACAGTTTGGACAGTCCACTTCCATTCCATCTGCTCTCGCATATTCCTAGCCCTTCTATGCCAATATCTTCTCATTTCTTTTGCAATCTGGTCAGCCTTGCTGGCTTCAAACATTGTGCGGACATTCCATGTCCCTATGCTTACTTTTGCTTTCATCGAGAGAAGACACTTCAACCAACTGGTTTCCCGGATGCTTTCACCAACCAGCATCATTTCGTCTCCCCGATTCCAGCGACGAATATGCTTATTTTTATACTTCCTCTGTACTTTGAAGTTTCTTTAGAGATTGGATTGGTTTTACGGGGTGGGGTTACTAACCCCACGCCTAACCTTTCCCCTTTTTCCGGGCTTAGGAGTGGCTAGTAAACCAAGTGAGGTTAATTTACTTACTATAGAACACAGTGATATAGTATGATTTACTTGATGACGTTCTGAGCATAAATTGCTGCTCATGAACATATCAAAGTAATAAGCCATTATTTGACATTTTTTATGGTCTTATCACCTCATATTCTTTGTTTTCAGTACATGTGCTGTAACATAGCCATTCACTGGAGTTGAACAAAGTCTTACATAGCTGAATGAAGAAGAAGATTGATTACTGAACTTTTATTCATTGGATGAACACCCAACATATGTAGTAGGAATAATACAAGACGTATACTGTAGATGTAGAAAATTTTAACTACCACTGGAAACAAGAAATTCTAGGTCATAGAAGTACAGTATTATAATTATTGTTTTTGTTCATTATCGCTTTATTCCAAACAATATGTTTGATATAGTATGGAACTTACAGTATGCTTCAGCAAGTTTGTAGCATCTCAGTAGTGTCAGTAGTAATAGGTGATCATATGAAACGATCAACTGCTGTTAGACTATTGTCCAATTTTGAACGTTGTATTGAATAGACAGGCGTAGATAAGTTTATTGATGGTTATTCATGCAACCAGTATAAAAATCTGCTATTCAACCTAAGTGTATGCGTTAAAAGGCCATTGTGAACTATTATTGTTATCTTATAAAGTGATAGGTTGAAAATACTTAAAAAATTCACTAGAGTTGTAGATTGTGCAATATGAAAGTACATTTTAATGATCAAAATAATTTGAACGGGAACAATTTGATATAAAATGTTCAGGTAGGAAATTTTTAGTAGGTTAAGATTCTAACTTACTATGATTACTTTGATATGGTTAAGTGCAGCAATTTGTGCTTGAAGTGTCAGTCAGGTAAACAATACTGTAACATATATTACTATATCAAGTAAGTAAATCCAATATGAACAGAATATTTAATTCAGTTTGAACTGTTTGTTTTGTTTGACTAAGTGATATGTAATATAGTTTCCAACTGTTTCAACTGATCTGACAACTGAGGAAATGGAAATGAACCATAAATGCATGAAAAGTCAATAAAGTTCAATTCACTGGGCTTTTTTCTATAGACGGCTATTCGTTGAAATACATTACTATGATTCGATTAGTTAAGATCTCATTTTAGTTATTCAGATTTCAGTACAGCAAGAATTGTTCTCATTGATTAGTATTTTTCTCTTAATTCATTTCCTTATTTCTCTTCTAGAATGTTAACCACCATTTAACATATGTAAAGGCATGTCGATTTTCTAATATCAACTACCCTGAACTTTTATGTGTCACCTATACTGGTAAGTATATTTTCCTGATTTAACTCTCCGCTTATGATGAAGTTTTTATCTAAGATTTGACGTATATTCATTTATAGGGATTGTAATATCAAGGATTCAAATTAATTTCAGAAATATCTTCATGTATACACATCAATAATAAGGCAATGACTTACTTTAACGCTTTGATTATCAATGCTTACATGTAAGGTAATTGACTGAACAATGAAGTTCAGCGTTGTATTGATTATTGAACTGCTGAAACTATTAGGTGAGCATCTGTTCAATTCAGACTTAAATTTTTGAATTGATCTAGTGAAAACAGACGCTGAGGTCATTTAATACTGTAACTCAAGAAGACACTTAAACTGAATACGCTTAAAAACTGCTCACTGATCCAAGGAAATATCAAGAGACAAAAATCGGCCTGTAATTGAGAAATATATTATAAATACATGTCCTAGGCTAAAGATAAAATAAACTATCTTGATTGGCGCCATCAAACACGAAATTTTACAATAATGGTGGTTCGATGTTCTCTAAGCTTTGTTATTTTGTCGTGAAAGTTTCATCACGAGGCTTCCTGAACCCCCCCGCCCCCCATCACTAACTTCATGAAGAAGGGAAGCTTATTAGAATTTTACATGTATATTTAGGTGGTTCTTTTGTTCACCTTGAGTTTTGGCCAAATGTAAGTTGAGGAGGAGATTTTTGTCACACATTGACCTCTGTGACCTTAGATTTCATTCGGTTGCGCTGGCAGACAGTCTTTGTTAGACTGACATTGTCTTACCTGTCACTGTCACACCGTTCTTCATGATTGATTCGTTTTGTGAATTTACCCTTGGTTGATGAAAGGCTGTATTTCTTCTGATATACATTATAGATTGGGTCTATATCCATGTATTTGTTGACTGAATTTTCGTTCGAATGCGATGCTTCTAGAAATTCTTTTCCAGCTTCGAACCTGCTCTTTGGAGGGTTTTCACACTCTCTCAGTTGGATTTGTGATAGTCGTAGTCTGTGTGCAGGGAAACCGGGGAGGTTGTATGCTGTTACCTCACTGATGAATTCTTTGAGCAATCTGACGACTAGACTGGCCAATGTAGTGTTGTGAACAACCTTTGCAATTAACTTTGCTTGTGTGTCACTTCAATTTCGAACAGACGAAGCTACCCGTTGACTTGCTGTTGTAAAGTTTCTTTACCAGCGTAACTGAGAGAAATTTATGGTGAGGGTGTGATAGAAATCTGTTCTCCAACCTACAGTTTGATGACACTCAAGGTCAGTGTGAACACTATCTAAATGTTCATGTAACATTCTAATATGCCACACTTCTTAATGAAGTTATTGATGAGTATGTCATGAAGCCAACCTCGCCTGGTTAACTAGTTTACTAGTTACTAGCCGGTCCTAAGCCCGGGTAAAGAGGGAAGGTTGGGTATAGGGCTAGCAACCCTACCCCGTAAAACAAATCTAACCGCTAAAGAAACTTCAAAGCACAAACAAAATATAAAAAATGAAAACAAACTTATTCCCCGCTGGAATCGGAGAGGCGAAATGACGCCAGTTGGTGAAAGCCTTCGGGAAGCCAATTGGCCGATGTGTCTTCTCTCGATGAAAGCGAAAGTAAACGTGGGGACATGGAATATCCGCACGATATTTGAACCCAGTAAGGCAGCCCAGATTGCAAAGGAGATGAGAAGGTATAACATCGAAGTGCTTGGGATTTGCGAAAGCAGATGGAATGAGAGTGGACTCTCCAAACTGTCAACTGGAGAATCAATAATCTACTCCGGTCACCCAGACGCCAACCACGAGCACACTGAGGGAGTGGCTATCATGATGTCCCCTTGAAGAGCATCGAAGGCTCTCCTCTCATGCAGTGGGAACCAATCTCCTCCAGGATCATGACAGCAAGATTCAACTCAAAAGGAAGAAAGGTCACAATCATACAATGTTATGCACCTACAAATAATGCAGAACAAGAGAAAAAGGAGGATTTCTACAGACAACTTCAATCAACACTGGACAAGACGTCAGTTGGCGATATCAAAATTCTAATGGGCGACATGAATGCCAAACTGGGAGGGGACAACACGGGAAGAGAACTAACCATGGGTCGAGAGGCGCTAGGTGAAATGAATGAGAATGGAGAATTGTTTGCAGAATTCTGTGCATTCAACGATTTGGTGATTGGAGGCAGTATGTTCAGGCACAAAGATATCCACAAAGCGACATGGATTTCACCAGATGGACACACTAAAAATCAAATCTACTTTGTCTCAATCTCAAGAAAATGGAGACGCAGTCTACTTAACACAAAGTCAAGAAGAGGAGCAGATGTAGGTTCAGACCCCTATCTAGTGCAAGGAACCTTCCAAATCAAGTTGAAAGCCTTCAAGGAAGCTGGTGATAGACCTCAATCCAAGTACAACACTCGGAAACTGAAGGATGAAACTACAAAGGAGATCTTCACGGCAGCCATCAAGACAAAATGGGAGATATCGAGGAACATCCCTGAAGAAACCTGTGTGGAAGAACACTGGAAGTCTTTGGAAGCTATGTGGAAAGAAACCTGCACAACAGTATTAGGAAGGAAGAAGAAAGAAGACAAGGAATGGATCTCGACGGATACCTGGATGGTGAAGCAGAAGATAAACCAGTGCAAGGATGCTCAACGACAAGAGGAACTGAGCACAATGTATAAAACACTGGGTAAAGAAGTGAAGAAGAGTGCACGGAAAGACAAAAGACACTTCTACGAAACACTGGCAAGTGAAGCAGAACAGGCTGCAGGTAAGAGAGACCTGACGACATTGTATCAAATAACCAGGTTGCTATCAGGGAAGAGACCAACACAGATGAAACCAATAAAAGATGAAGAAGGAAATTTAATTACGAAAGAAGAGAAACAGAGGAAACGATGGGCCGACCACTTCAAGAAGCTCTTGAATCGACCACCACCTGCACTTCGTGCAGAAATACCACCTGCAGCCGCTGAATTACAAGTGAACATAAATCCCCCAACGAAAATGGAAGTCCTGAACGCCATAAAGCTACTGAAACGCGGGAAAGCAGCAGGACCAGATGGAATACCGCCAGAAGCACTGAGAACAGACTCAGAGACAACAGCGGACATGCTCACACCACTATTGCAGAAGGTGTGGAAGGAAGGGAAGGTACCTGGCGATTGACTGGAAGAAGAGTTACCTTGTCAAACTGCCGAAGAAAGGAGACCTCAGTGCTTGCAAGAACTGGCGCGGAATCACTCTCCTGTCCACCCCAAGTAAAATATTAAGCCGCATCATCCTAGAGAGGCTTAAAGACGCACTGGATTCAAAACTGCGACCGGAACAGGCAGGCTTCAGGAAGTACAAATCATGTGCAGACCAAATTGCAACGCTTCGCATCATCATAGAACAGAGCATAGAATGGCAATCAGCTCTCTGCCTCAACTTCATCGACTTTGAGAAGGCCTTTGACAGCGTCGACCAAGAAGTAATTTGGAAACTGCTTCAATACTACGGAGTACCGCAAACCTTTATCCGCCTCATTCAGCAACTATATGAAGATGCCACATGCCAAGTAATTCACAATGGGAAGCTCAGTGATGCTTTTGAAGTGAAGACAGGAGTGAAACAAGGTTGCCTACTATCCCCCATGATATTCCTTATTGTGGTGGACTGGATCATGCAGCAAACAGTAGGCAGCGAGAAGAGGGGGATACGCTGGACGACGGAAAAGAACCTAGAAGACTTGGATTTCGCCAGTGATGACTTGTGCCTAATGTCACATAAACTTGAAGATCTGCAGGCAAAAACTAACAAGTTGATAGAAGAGGCAGCTAAGACGGGACTTCAGGTGAATATAGAGAAGACAGAAGTGATGAAGATACCGCACCACCACCATCAACAACAACAACAAACTCCAATCACCGTCAACGGGAGAAACTTAAAGGAAGTAACCTCCTTCACTTATCTAGGAAGCACTGTTTCAACTACAGGCGGGACGGACGAGGACGTGAAAGTCAGAATCGGAAAAGCAAGACAGGCGTTCATTAGCCTGAAACCAGTGTGGAGATCTTCTGCACTCAGCATGCGGAACAAGATACGGATTTTCAACACCAACTTCAAGTCAGTGCTCTTGTATGGCTCAGAGACTTGGCGCGTTACGAAAGGCATTTCCAATAAACTACAGACATTCATCAACAACTGCTTACGTTGGTTCCTTACTGAAGATCAGATGGCCAGGATAACAAGAATAAGCAACAAGGAGCTCTGGGAACGACCCAACGAAGCAAGAACCTATCACGCAACAAATATGCACTGGAAGGAAGTGGAGATGGATTGGGCATGTACTGAGAAGGCCGACTGGGGACATCACGCGTCAGGCCAGGCACCCGAGTGGAATCCCCATGGGAAGCGACGAGTTGGACGTCCGAGGTGAGGGTGACATGGAGGAGATCGTGCGAGGAGGAAATGAGAGCTTGTGGGCTGTCGTGGAACCAGGTTCAAAAGATCTCAGAGAACAGAATTCACTGGAGACGTGCTACTGAAGCCCTATGTTCCACTAGGAACCCAAGGGACTAATAATAATAATAATAATAATAATAATAATAATAATGTCATGAAGCCGGGTGATCAAGCATTCACCACAAAATACCGAATCTGATAGAACACTGAGCCATCATCTTCGTCATTCTTAGCTGTAAATCTTTTCCATTATTTCAGATTGTCCAGTAAGATTTATTCTGACTGCATAGCAAGATAAATCAAAATCTGAGACTTGAAAATTTCTGCCTCATCGGTTGGTGACAAAAAATGTTGATTTTCATCCTAGACATTTCCTGTTAGTTTCTTTCAATAGCAGAAAGAAGGAATATATTTTAGTGAAGATTGTAACACGATTCTGTGGTTTATTTAGTTTGGTCGTGTGATCACTCAATCTCTTTCACTTACGCAAAAACATTTATGACTAATCCTATCCTTTACATCGTGTATTATGTTCCCAAGAAAGTTTTCAGAAAATATTCACTGGGAAATAATAAGCTCTAAGTGGAGCTGTGGCTCATTAACTCAGGCATCTGATAACATTCAAGTAGTGAGTCACTAGTTCAAACCTTGCTCCACTTACCTAGGTTTTGACTGCCAGATAATATCATTAACTTTTATACAGTTGATGTGATTGATTACGCCATGTACGAATATGCACAAGTTTACTGAGTGTGCTTCAACTAGGCTTCTAAAGTACGTTATTTTAATTCAGAAAACAGAAACGCTGCTTATCTTGGGATCCGATTCTAATCAGTAGATACAAATGTAGGAAAATGTGTTTATGTATAATGAACTACTTATTTTGGCTTATTACTCCTAATATATGACGTTGCTTTTATTATCTCATCGTTGATTGGACCGAATTGATCGGTCTCTATCAGCAAATGGGCTCCTGCACGAATGCCTCAAAATTGTCTGCGTTTTCAGTTTTTATATTAATGATAAATAGTGGCTAGTAGTGGAATCCAGGACACGCGTTTCGTTCTATTTAGGACTCGTCAGCTGCTAACCGCTAACCATCCACCATCATCAGATGACAGTTCTGCTAATGTTTGTTTCTTTGTACCACAATAACTTCTTCTGATGGTGTAAATCTATATCGCTGGGAATGCTAAAACTTGAAGAATGGGGAATGCTTGAACTTAGATATTCATCTGAATAACGTGATTATATAAACAATTACCGATTTCTGAAATCGTTGAAATGAGTTTTTATTGACCAATGAAAATATACACAAAAGATTTACTGTTAAAATACATGTACATCTGATGAAACATCGGATTATACAGAGGGGTCAAACATATCGGCTACTTGTAACGCAGACATCTAATACTGAGCGACCTTGATGAGTAAAAAAAATGACTGACAAGCTTAAAACACTGTTTATGTACTGAAAAACGATATTTTATAGTTTGTTTCATAACTTGCAGACATTTTAGATGTTATGACAGGGTTGAATGTCCTTTCTTCTGTACCACTCAGAACTGCTTAAATTTTGTAGATTTCTCGGCCATTAATTTGATGATACCTGTAAACCGGCTTATTAAATTCATGATATGAGAATAAAATACTTGTTTATTTATCAATAACATCAAAAACACAGGCAGTATTGAAACATCCCTCATGGAGCCCATATGGCAATAGAGACCGATCAATTCGTTGTAATCAAGGACGGGATAATACCGGCAAAATCATATAAACCATACCCGTTGAACAAGAAGTGGCTATCATGACTTGGTGGCCTAGTGAATAACGCCCTGGCGTTTGAAGCGATTGGTCCCGAGCTCATGTCCTAGTGGGAATAACATCACTAACTGAGAAGCAGGTACATCCAGCTGACAAGCCTCAAATAGGACGAAACGCGCGTCCTTGATTTCACAACTACCCATCATTCATCATTAATATCAAAGGTGCTAACATAGTTTTTAACTCTAAGTAATATTGCTATTATTGATTTAAAGGTATGATTTTCGGTTTAACAACTGAACCAATCAGAAAAAGAACAACAGATATCCATCGACCTGATTCAATGCAGTTACAATTCACATCAAAGTTGGATAAGTTAAAGTTTGTAGTCAGACCTTTTTTCTTGAATTTTTGATTAGTTGTTTCTCTTAATTTATTATAAAATTTCAGCTCATGGGATGGATGTTCTGATGTGTTCAAAAATTCAGCTTCTTTGAAGCAGAAATTTTGATGTTATATATTTCACTGCTACATCAAAAATACAATCTCTGGACTCATCACTTGTGTGAATTTCCTTAACATTTTGACCATGTTTATTAAGAATGAGAATAGCATGCAACCAGTGAGGAATAATAGTAATCTAATGATCAGTCAGTATAGGAATAAGACTTGGGCAGTGTGGTAGGTCATAATTCTATTTCAGTCTATTAGAATTGTCACACAGTGAAACAGTACCATTTATTAGATAACCTTTCGAACACAACTTATTGCCCATATTCATATCAGCAGCTAACTTTCAGATAGAGTTTATATAGTTCCGATCCTCTCTCCTTCTTTGTGACAGGTGAAGTAGTATGATTTTCGGTTGTGATTAGATAAACGAAGGTTTGGTTATTAATCTCTCCCTCCAACCAACTAGGTTAGTTTTTTATACTGTCGTTCTATCCTACTCTATTGTGAGACTGTGTATAACTGCGTGCAGAGCTATGACCGAGCTTCGCTCTAAATTTCTAATCTTATTAGGATCTACTTACCTTGATCTAGCTAAGCTTTTGCACTCGGATAGCCTAATTGACCCTGGTCGACTATTCTGACCTATGTATTTGACCTCGCAATTATTGCATGGGGTTTGGTAAACCAGATTAGTAGTAGTAGTAGTAACACAGATGTCATTAATAATAATTCCACTACTAATAGTAATAATAGTGACAGGGTTGAGAGAGAATTTAAAGCCTCTGCTGTGTTACCATATATGGAAGGCACCTCAAAAGCATTACGAAGAATTCTCAAAAAGGTTGGGTGGGATTAAAGTGGTATTTAAAGCAACAAACTCGCTTAGAAACAACCTGCGTAGGTTAGAAGATCCTATTGATGCAGTTAAGCAAAATAATCTGGTTTACCAAATCCTTTGCAATGATTGCGAGGTCAAATACACAAGTCAAAATAGCCGACCAGAGTCAGTTAAGCTATCCAAGCACAAAAACTTAGCTAAATCAAGATTAGTAGATACGAATAAGATAAAAAAAAAATGTAGAGAAAAGTTCTACTCTGGCTCTACACGCAATTACAGACAATCACACAAGGAAGGATAGATCGACAGTATTAAAAACTTAGTTGGGTGGAGAAAGAGATTGATAACCGAATCTCTGTTTATCGAATCAACACCGAATGCATGCAATAGAAATGATTCTGCACCTGTTCCAGATATTTCGAAAATTCCGTTACCTTTGTGACAAAGGATAAGAGAAAGTCCGAACTATATGAACTCTATCTGAAAGTGTGAAGTTACCCACTGATATGAATATAGACAATAAATTGTGTCCGAAAGGTTATCCAATAAATGGTGCTATTTCACTGTATGACATTTCTAATAAACAGACTAAAATGGAACCAGTAATCATTCATTTCATTGTAGTCATAATTGAACTAATCTGTCCAAATCTTTGATCAAAATGAAACAGAATGTATTTCATTGGGCATAAAAGCGTCTGTATTTCACTATCATTTGGTATCAGTAGGGCAAGAGCTGGAAAAATGCACACCAACTAATGAATATGAAAACTAGTAAACTCCATCAGCAATTACTGATAGTGTCTATTATGATTCCTGAGATATAAGTAGAGATTATAAACAGTCTGATCGAACAAGTTGGAACCAAGGATAGGTGTCCATTAAAAACAATCGAGAGAGGCCACATTGTTCAAACCTTTGCAGTACAACCATACACCTGTAAGGTAATGTGCTCATACACAGAAGTAATGGTAGGGACTTTCGAATATTCACAAACTATCAAGAAACAACTACTCAAAACTACTTCGTTTCAGCCTGTATCACAAACAGATAAAAATATTCTTTACATTAATCATCGAAATTGGAATCGATCAATAGGTTTGATGAGATCCTGTGTAATGTGACAGTGAGTTCTTAATAATAATAATAATAATAATAATAATAATAATAATAATAATAATAATCCCTTTATTCCAAACAATATGTACGACAGTGTGGAATTCTCAGCATGTACTTTTCAACAAATTCACTTCAAGAACAATACTTTCATACGAAACGGTTATTGCATCGAAATGATGTTAATAATAACGGTAATCAAGGTAATAATGTGAAATAGCCAGCTGGTTTTGGATGAGCATCCAGTCCATAATGAAGAATCAACAGGAATGCAAGCGTAATTGAGTGATGGTTCATTTAGACGGTACAAAAATCTGCAACTTAAGCTAAGAATCTGATGGAGAGTAATATAATGAACTTTTGTGCACCGAAAAGTTCATTTCCACATAACGTAACACTTCTTCCATGCCTTGTTATTGAAATGAGAAATGGAGAGTTGGAAACAGTTTAAAAGTGCGCAACAGTACATGAAACGTTCAAAAGATATATTTAAATGATTAAAACAACGGATAGTGGTAGTAGTAGTAGTAGTAGTAGTAGTAGTAGTAGTAGTAGTAGTAGTAGTAGTAGTAGTAGTGGTAGTCATATGTCATATTTAATACAAAGAGGAGAGAATTACCATCTTTGTGAACATTGAATAAACCTTATGAATATGGAATTCCAGCACTGAATGCAACTTTAATCGTGAAGTTTTTTAACATATTTCATTCTCAGTAGTGTTGTAATCATTTCTCTCCAGTAATATCTTTCTTATCTAGCGGCTTAGATTACTTATTTTTACAGGATGAAGTGTGGAGATTCCTCCTCCTTTTATAGTCAAATTTACTCGTTGATACTATACTAGTCCACTCATCAAGATAGTTCATTATTTTACTCCAATTTTCTGTTGTTCGTAAAGCTTGGTTTTAATGATCTTATGGAATAACCTGCCCCATAACATGTTATATTCCTGAGTATTAGATAGTATGCGCGCTTTAAAGTAATAGCTAGTTTATAGACCAGATACCACTGGCTCTAAACCTTAGACGGAAATAGAAAGAATGAAGACTGTTGGTTGTACTGTGTTCTCTGAGCTGGGTTGTTTAATCGTGAAGCTTTCATCGTCTTTCTAGACGACATCATCAACACTAACTTCAGTATGAAGTTACTGAAGAGAGACAGAAAGAATGAAGACTGATCTAGATGGAAGGATTTATTGCCTCCGGAAAAATTAGAAATAATCCGAAATACAAGTGCGTATATATATATACATAATATATGATCTTGTCTAGAGTTTGAAATATTAGCATATTGAAGGCAGTCGTCAACCAATCAGCGAATTACTTTTAACAGGGGGACAAATGGAATACTGATCGTGGCGCAAAAAAAGGCGCGAAAACGGTAATTCAAAAATGTACAGATGAACAAGTCATGTTTTATGCAAATCTAGTGCCTCGTAACAACTTCCTAAAATATCATTTTGGTACGTATTAAATCAAAAGGTCATTGTAGTATTGTTATCTCAAGTAAACGCTTATTAGAACATCTCTTATTAGAATAATGAGGGGTGTAAGTCGTTAAGTATTCTCTTCTGAACCATAAACCCTTGTACAAAAGATAGGCTGAAAAATTATTTAGGTCAGTATCTGTTTATGAATGTAGGTGTTCATCTAAAGCTTCATTTAGTTGTTGCCCTATTCACTCAGTTGCTAAGCGTACTCATGAACACTGACTTTTAATCAAGGAAGAATTGACGATTATTGTTAGGTTTACACACTGAAAGTTTTTTTGCGCTTACAGTAATTGAATTACCTTGCAAATTTCTCTGAGCTGTTCTACAAACTGAGACCAAATCAATAAGAAGTTGGAACAAGCCTTGTATAAATCTCAGAAATACTGTCATCTTGTAGTTTCAAAGCCCGAAATTCTACTTAGAAAAAAGTTATATTCTTAACTTATTGCCTTAAGAAATTATTGTACGTTTCTACTCTTCTAGAAAAATTCCCCTTCTGTTTACAAAACTAACCTAAAAGTTAATGGTGAAAGGCAGTCATCAAGATACTGTAACTTAAGTTTCATATTGGCTAACTTTAAAACACCAAGGTGTATGTAAAATTTCATTATACCGATGCAGCTGTGAAAACTCAAATTCAAGTTAGTATTTGAATCGCTACTATAACTAAATTCCCATCGTGTCTTTGACGTCCTCATCTTTGCCGCCTGTAGTTGACTCTTTGGCATACGGATTCAAATATTCTCTCAGTTACGACCTTAGGGATACTAACTGTCTTTTCGGCTCAAAATCCCTTTAATAGCTATTTACCTAGTCTTGAATTGAGATAACTCAGTAAATAAATGAAGTTTTTTCACTTCTCATCAGTTATTGATTTTTTTAAATTTTGTATACATCATGCTCTGACATGAATCAGAGAGCCGTTGAAAGCCTAGGAACATTGGAACATCATTTCGTCTCAATATGAGGCGCCTCAGCACTGCACACCCAACACTGCGTCAAGTATGGAACCTAGAACCTTCAGGTCCTATGGCTGACACACAATCTTTGGGCCGCCGAGTCAGAATCCAATGATTTACACTCTCCTACTTCTGTCAGTTCTCGATATAGCTGAACATTCATCCAATGCTGACGTTGAGTACCTATCGTCACGTCCAACTGGTTGACCCCAGATGTCGTGGATTATTTTTAGAACTTTGGGAATCTCATCTAGAACCAGTTCTTTAGTAAGCAATCGACAGTAAGTTAGCTTGGGGTTCGACCTCCGGCAAGGTCATTGATATGCGCTCTTGAGGAGCTCCACACTATTCGTCCAGTGCTCTCAGGTTTTCAGTGGTTCTACAAGTGATTCCAGTTCGAAATGAATGTTAACTTGAAAACAATAAATCGCTATAAACCTCCAAATTCAGTTATTGTTATACGTCATTTGCACCTATGGCCATATCACAAATCTGTAGAGTAGGTAACATATACACCTCAAGGTGTTCAAATGATTCATAATATCTATGATGGATAGTGGCTAGCAGTAGAATCCAGGATGCACATTTTGTCTTATTTGGGACTCGTCAGCTGGATTTACTTGCCTCCCAGTGAATGATATTATTCCCGCCGGGATTTGAACTAGGGACGGATCGCTTCAAACGCCAAGCCACGATAACCACTTCCACTAGCTAATTCTAATACAAGCAATAACATTGATTCATAATAGCGGTTGAAATTACATTAAATCCCCTTAAATAATCATTATAGTGAACTGACTCATTTTTGTTCCATGTAAATATTCATATTCAATTTTCAATTTTGTTTTAATTAGTGACGAAATTTCGGAACTGGAAAGTCAACTAAACCAAATGAAAAACAATCAAAATTCAATTAAAAAAGAGCAGATTGTTTTAATACCATTAGAATTGGATTATAAATATTATTTGAATAAAGATTTATCTGCATATTGTTTAAATTTAGAGACACAAATACCAATTGATCATATATTGGTACAAAGTGATTGTTATATTGACTTACTAGATATTGAAGAGAATACAGCTGTATGTAGTCCAAGTGTATGCAAAAAAACTGTAAGCTACTTTTTTACACTTTTTCTAATCATTGTTCTAAGGTTACTTTTTCATTAACATGATAAAAATCAAAATCTGCTCAGCAGTCAGGTCTCGTGGAGTTCAATTAAGTAGGCTAACGATCAAGAGATCTGGTGGTCTCTGGCTCAAATCCTCCCATGGTTCAAATTTTCATTTCACCTTCAGTCATCACTCAGTATCAACAATACAAGTCTATCAAATCACAGCTATCTTAAATAGTCAAACTGATAATAGATTATTGCAGATTTCTTTGCCAGCTGATGACTTTCTCAACTAACAATCGATTTTCATGCTAACTATTATTTTAAGGCAAGAGAAAAAGTGGAATGACTATACTAACAATGGTCAAAATTATGCTCTACATGGATCGCAAACTTTGAAGACTTTTAGAATTTATGGTGATGAAAATGATTCTACAAATTTAAAGAATTTGTTCGTTTAGTCTTCACACTTTACTACTATTCACGTAGAATGCAGTAAAGAAGGTGGGGGGGTGAGGTTAAATGGCTGATAGAACAGAAATTTACTAGGTAGTCATTATTTCCGATATGGCAGTTGGAAAGTATGATACCTAAAGTATTATAAGATAATTCTTGATGGAGGACAAAGTATGTGATCGTTTGCTTGAACTGTCTTGGCTTTTTAGTTCCTTCTTGTAACAATTGGAAGATATTTCAGAGTTCAGGAATGTTATTTATTCCAAATGGAAGCTGTGTAACTTGTTATAAAATACTTGTTGTAAATTAAAGCTTGGATATAAAATCCTTCAAGTCAATGTAATCCAACCCACTGTAGAGCTGTGTGTGTTATTGGTTTAAGTAAACGACTTTCAACCAATAGGTCACGAACTGATGCTCCACTGCACCTATTGAGGTTTGGACAAGCAATCAGTACCATTGGCCTTCACACAACAGGTATGGTTCATTGCTTATTGCATGAATATGAATAACTTTGTTTGAGTGCATTTCAACTCAATTTTTCCAACTTATCAGGTGTGCTATTATTTTAGATATCATTCTAGATTCTATAATAAAAGAGTAAAAGTTAAATGGAGACCAAATTATATACATTGAACATAAAATGAATTGATCATTTAAACAAACACTTTAGCCTTGTTTTACCAAGAGTTTAAACTTCTTTTTCTTTGTCATTAACAATTTTAGAATAAATGAATAAATTTTTCCAACTCTTGTTTTTTTTCCTCTTTCTCATAAGGATAGAAATGTAATATTGACCACTTATAGATGTCAAATAAACACAACACACTTTGAAATTCAATTTCGTACTATTGAAGGTCAATATGGTCAGGTACTGGTATATGTTGTGCCAAAAATGAATATATCCACTGTAACAGCATGTAAATCGATCAGATTGTTTATTCATCCATTATCATTGCATCGTTTATTTCATCATGTTGATGATGATTATGGTGATAATAATGTAGACAGGTAAGATTTATTATATTCCAGGGAAAATTGTTGCATTCAGACAAGAATCCATCACTTGATAACCTGAGAAATCGAATAGAAATGAAAAGATGGTATAAAGAGTAACTTGAGATGAATGGAAAGATTGATTGCACAGTAAGCAATTATGACAAACATCAAGTTACATCGTCTCATAAACACACATTCATGAAGTGTGTAAGCTGTTACATAATTAAAACTCATAACCAGTAATTTCATTTCGTTACATCTTCATCAGGTTATTATCAAATTTATCCGAACTCATTTATAATCCTGTCACGATCATATTATCTCAATGGGATTGACATATGTATGTCTCAGTTACTTTACTTGCTAAAGAGTTCACAGCTAAATCAACTGAATTATCTTATTCGCTTACAATAGTATTCGTCTCTTCAAGGTTGTGAATTACTGATTTCGCTACGTCAACGATATTCGAATATCTGTACTGTTTATGTATACTCTTCTAGTTTAGATTTTATATACTATTCAGAAAGGGTATTAGAAAATATTGTTTCAAGGCAACAACACAAATTGTTAGTGTTGTGAACTTGTTTTGTAAAGTTTACTAACCTAGTTAATGTAGGTTCATAACATAAATGAATATAAATGAACTCCTTGAATGTCCTCTATGTCATCTGTACTCCAGAAGTGAGAAATGTACTACAAGCAAACTGTTATTGTTTTTATTGTCAGTACTTTTATTCAACAGTTTTGTCTAACAGAAATTGTGTTCTTTACTTCAATGGATTTGATGATAAACTTTTCTTAAAAATGGTAAATAGAGTCGGATTTCTGGTGACATCATGTACCAATTCAACTTATACTCCATCTGATCTCATTCAACATTATTTGCCTTTAATGTGAATTTCATGTGAAATTATCAATTATACTGAACGACTGATGGACTGTTACTATGTAGTTTGCTGTCAGAGCATTGCTTCTGGTTAAAATGTTATTACCATGTTATGTTAGTTGTTTTTGTGTTTCGTTAGTACAGGACTAACCATTGAACACCCTGATAGATTGCAAATAATACTAATAAACAAACTAAAGCGGGTTGTTTGATGTCATTGATTGAACTTGGATTCAAGTTTTAGTTGAAACAACATCCCCCACTAGGAAGCAGGTACACCCAGGTGTCGAGTCCGAAATAAGACGAAACCCATGTCGTTTATTCCACTGCTAATCACAATCCATTATTAAATTAAAGTGGAGTTTTTATATATTTTCCTATTTCAGCAAGAGACATATACTTGGAAAATTGATCTGCATCAGTAAGATCGTTTTAGAACAATTAAAATAAGTCTGAAGTCATTTATGTTTATACTCAACGACGGCATTAGATGATGGTCACATTATATTATGAACTGAGAGAAGTAGGAAAGTGTGGATCTTTGGATTTTGACCCACCGGCTCAAAGGTAGCATGTTGTTTTCAGCTATGCAGTGCCTCCAGGTTTTTAATAGTTCTTCGACTGATGTCAGTCTTTGATGAAAACCGAATTGGAAATTAAATGTGAACTATTCTGTAGTATGGAACTTTTTTTATTTTGTTATGCATTGTTTACTGAATTCTGTTGGTCATAGTTTGTACTACAGCTAGTAGATTATGTGATTTGACGGAGTTATGCACAACACTTGGTGTAAGATAATTGAAGACAAGCTTTTAGAAGGCCTTAGGTTTCAAGAATCAATGTTGGCGTAAATTGATGAATACGAACAAGCATGTAATCTAATTTGCACAAAGTTTTTTTACACTCCCCATTCAACCATCTAACACTAAGCATAGCAACCATACTGTTATGTCCTAATGTCTCAAAAAAAATCCATTTTTTTATATATTCTTCATTGCTATACTTTAGAAATAGGCTTTGGAATACTCTCCTATTAACTGGACGCTTCCATATATCTGAAATTCATAACTGGTTGTCTATTTGCCTACCGGAAGTACCTGAAAGACCAAAAATAATCACACCAAATGATAATTGTGATGATCAAGAAATAACAGAATGTGCTCAATTGTTTCATGAGTCGATATACTTCAAAAGTCAGTTGAAGTGTTATTATGAAAAGGCAGAGCTCATATACAGTCAGATAATATATCTACTATTGCTATATTGAAGGACGTTTTAACCAAAGAGGCAACCAAACGAAAAATTCAACTCACAATTAAGTTAGGTGAGTTAGTTAATTGTGACAGCGCGATACAAAACATCTGTTAGTATGAAACCTCACTCACAGCTGACAAACAAGTTTACTATTAGAAACTTAGCACGTACTGGTAATTTCTAAACCAAAAACTTCATTTTAAGCAAGTATACTACTGTATAACTTTTTGAGTAGTTCATATTTTGTCAAACATTTTTTCTATGAGTGTTTCCTATACTGTCTATAAACCAGACTTACTGTTAGATTACATTTTTAACACTGTTAGGTTGAAACCTTTTCTTCTAAGATCTCCCAACCTAGAAAACCTGACATAACAATAATTGCTCGTTAACATAAAATGAAAAACTTTAAAAAAAACACAAAACTCCCTCAGTAATGTCTCAACGAAAACGACTTTTGGTGTTCAGGATTGTGTAACATCTATTACAGTAATTTGGTGTTATTAAACTGGCTTGACAATAAGTTTATTAAGTGCGTGTCAGTAGGCAGGCAAGCCTGCAAAGCTGTTTGAAATCCCCAAGGAATCCTTATATATATATATATATATATATATATATATATATATATATATATATATATATTGTAAATAAGTCGGTAGGATGCCTCTGACCTTGAAATTCGGTTGATACACTACGTTTACTGAGAAACACTTAGGTCTGACAGATGTCAGTTACCGTTTAGTAACCACTGAGAGTATAATGATACAGTGTTCTCAGTCATGTATCAACCAAAATGCACCAAGACAATACAAATTTCTTATAAGATGCATCATATGCGTGAGGAACAGCACCTTATGTAGCTGTAAAATGCTATCCAGTCCATTTGTCAAACTGTTATAGTAAGTGAGTCAATCGGATTTACAACTTAACGTTTCAATGTTCTTACATTGAGTCAAACTCTCCAGTGTCATAAAGATCTTCAATAGTCTTCCAGGTAACCAACCATTTGTTGAAATACATTCGTCAATGAAATTTACAGTAGCCTTTGTTTCATGAAGCCTTGCACTATATTGCACATACTCATTGAAGATGTTTAATGCAATTTGATGCTCAAAAGCTTTCAGTACATTGAATATTTGCGTTTAGACATTTAGAAAAAAGATTAACTGGGGGAATAAATACATCCCTTTTCCAATTAGTTCTTCGTATGGAGATCTTTATTGTTCTAATTTGTCCCTTGCTCAACCATGATGGGTGGTGCTCAGAAATTGGACGATGAACCTGTCTCATTGTACTCCCAATGTAACTAGCAGATGAAGTAATAAGTGCATATCGTTGTATAAGAGACATACTAAAACTCCATACTTGCCCACCAGGTTGATGCCGAATACCAAGTGGATACTAGAAAAGCATTCAAAATTATTCATCGCATTCCAATTAACTTACCATATGGGTTACCCACTCGTTTACTTCATATAGAAGAGGCGATTACAATCCACCTTTACAAACCTAACCTTTATATTCAAAAGACCTTTGTTTGATCACATTCATTACGGTGGCAATCAATATGAGGTAACTCCTAGTATTACGTTGTATGCATTTTTTCTTCATCTTGTCTCTACCAATATTCACTTGTTTTCTCATAACTATGACTGAACACTCATGACAAATCACTCCATTTATTCTACTAGTTACTATATAACTGAACTAATAATAACCTACTTCATATTACCAATTTTAATTGGTGGAGAGTATTTGTAACTCAGGTAAGCATGGTCTAGGTTGTATTGTGTCCTCTGAGCTGGGTTGTTTAATCATGAAGCTTTCATTGTCTTTTTAGACGACATCGTCAGTATTAACTTCAGTATGAAGTGAGTTGTCAATATCTCTCCGTGATTGATTTAGTAGCTTGCCCTGACGAACCACAAATCACGAATCACAACCAGGGCAAGCTACTAAATCAATCACGGAGAGATATTGACAACTCACTTCATACTGAAGTTAATACTGACGATGTCATCTAGAAAGACGATGAAAGCTTTACAATTAAACAACCCAGCCCAGAGAATACAATACAACCAAGACCAATTTTAATTACTCTGTTGATTATTTGTATCTTAATTTCTAAAACTAATCATCTTCATGACTTACTTAAAATCTATAATTACTGTCCATCGAATCCCCCCACACTTGATTGGTATTTTGATTGGATTATAAGCCTATATATTGGTGTATAGCCAAAGACGAAGACCTAATTGGAAAAGGGATGTATTTATTCCCCCAGTCAATCTTTTTTCTAAATGTCTAAACGCAAATATTCAATGTACTGAAAGCTTTTGAGCATCGAATTGCATTAAACATCTTCAATGAGTATTTGCAGTATAGTGCAAGGCTTTATGAAACAAAGGTTACTGTAAATTTCATTGACGAATGTATTTCAACAAATGTTTACCTGGAAGACTATTGAAGATCTTTATGACACTGGAGAGTTTGACTCAATGTAAGAACATTGAAACGTTATGCGATGAATCAGTTTGACTCTAAAATTTTAGTCTACTGACATGTATTAAAAAGATGTTACACAGAGATTTCATCTAATGGAACAGCTTCCAGAAAATTAAAAACAAGAATTTTTGAGTTATGCGATAACACACAGAAACTGAAGGTAAAGACTAATAACTTGTTCAGTAGGCTATGATCTTATCATTTATTTCATTTACCATACCTCCATGGAAGTTTTCGACATATGTTTGAGGAATTTTTAACACAAAAAGCTATATAGGATAAAATATCTATTTGAGTAAGATGAAGCTATTGAGAAAGATGTCATAATTTCTGTGTTTAATTAAAAATATTAAATTATCCAATGAAACAATGCCTTTCGTCGAATGTTTTGTTTGGTGTCTTTTTTTGACGAATAAATTGCAGATATGATTCTTTGAAGCGTTCCAAAGATTAACAGTAAGGAGACGAAAGTATAGAGAGGAAGGATGACAATGAGGATTCAGTTTGGATGGACTATTTCAAATACATATTATATTTTAAAGAATTCACTTAAATAATAACTGAAGATCTTGTTGGTAGGCAAAGTATCTGAGGAATTGGTTGATGATGATTTATCCACCCAGTGTCTAACATATCAGATAGAAATAATCTACAGATTATGATGTGGATTCAATAAAACTCGATAATCCAGTACTTGATCGGTGTTCATTAGGTTGGAATAACCTTCGTCCCAAAATCTGTCTATAACAATTAAGTTATATATATTCAAACAATCACAAACAGCTAATTTGACGCACTTTGTTTTTATGAAGGACAATTTTGACATGTCTTTGTCAAATTCATTGTTTATTTTAGTCGTAGGTTAAGTTTGATGTTCAATAACTTCCTATGACTCTCTCATTTCTGGGGTACAGATTAAGAAATTATTATTACTACAAGTTTAGTACTGTTAGTCTGATTTCCTCTCCATCTATACCAGTATCAAGTCATGATTCGACAGAAAATAAAACATTCCGTATTATTGGAGACCACAGTTATAAACCGATTGTACTATCATTTTTAATTTGTGCTGATAAGTAAATTAATGATGGATCGTGGCTAGCAGTGGAATCCATGATGCGCATTTCATCCTATTTGGGACTCGTCAACTGGATGTACCTGCTTCCCAGTGAGTAATGTTGTTCCCACCGGGATTCTGACTCGGGAGCGATTGCTTCAAATACCACAACGTTATCTACTACACCAGTGAGCCACGATAGCCAATTCTTGTGTGGCGGTTATAGTCTCAGTATAATTGCTTCTATTATACCGTTGTTGATTGGATCGAATTGCTTGGTCTCTATTGGCATATGGGCTCCTGTGCGGATGCCTCGACATTGCCTGCGTTCTAATTGTATTAATGATGGATAGTGGCTAGTAGTGGAATCCACGATGCGCATTTCGCCTTATTTAGGACTCATCAGCTGGATGTACCTGCTTCCCGGAGAGAGACCGATCAATTCGGTCCAAGCAACAACAGTATCATATAAAAACAATTATACTGATCAGTAAATGTTAGTTCCATCCATCCAAATCAACATAGGACCAGGCATTACTGCATAACTGTTCTAGTTGCCACACCTCATATCAGTACATCAAGTAAAAAGGCAATGAAGTGGAAGATGAAAAGAAATTCAGTCAAAAGAAATATAGAGTACAAAAAGAGAGAGAGGAAGAGTGAGAAAATGATGAGATTCGGTATAGTGTTAAGATGAGGATAGTGTATGTGTATACATCTGCGCCACTGACATCTGTTCTGAACCATATCACCTAGAGTCTCTAACCACTGGTTTCTCTTGTCCCGTGGACCCCAACTGGCTAGTCTAAATAGCCTTACATGGCTCAAACCAACGGTGAAAGACTTCATACACTGACGCCATATTTTAGTCTGGTCACCTCGGGCCACTTCCAGTCTGAACCTACTTCGGCCAACTTCGTGTGACGAGGCAGATGGCGACTAGTTCACACATTTATGAAACTCTATGGTAAGAATAGGATTCATTAACATATCTAAAGATGTGTGTTGTGATGTATAACATGAAATTCGAAACAGTCATTCACAAGAAGCGACTGAAATTATAACTTGATATGGAAACCGAAGATGTTTCTGTCTTACAATTCAACTTGTGCTACTCTACATGATTGAAATCATTCTCATTCAATAGAATCAACATCTCAGTCTATATTCTTTTCTCTGCTTCCTTTCAGATATTCATCCAAACAGCGTTGAATTAATGCTAAGAAAAATAGATCCAGAAGTTATATATCTTAGAGATTTAGAAGAAAAAGTAGTATTAATTGAGCCTATAACAGAAATGATTTCAAACAAGATTCAATGTTTCAATGCAGTTAATAAAAACGGGGAAAAGTATACAACATTGATAACTAATAAATATGGGAATCCATTTCCAGAATGTTTACCTTTAGAATATGCACAAATATGGCAAAATGGAAAGAAATTAAAACAAGAATTCAAGCATAAATCATATCAATTAAAAATTTATTATGTTAAGTTGATTATCACGCTGTTTATATTTGATTACTATTTACTAGAATAAGATCTATCTATAAACTATCTTGGTTTGAACATTTTTTTTTAAAAAATCAATACCTGAACAGTGTAATTATACATCATAAGTAATAAACTCGAAATAAGGATTTATATTCTGATTAATCAACTAAGGTAATGAGTGGTAACTTCAACTTACATTGTGTACATAACTATGGTAGCAGATAACATCTAACTGACTATTTATTAAGAGAGAACAAAATAAGGTAGTAAGTTCATTGATGAATATAATCAACAAAACAGCTTCTTAAAGTAAATCAAACAATCGAATTACAATGAGTTTTCTGCGTCTTTTTTCTTTCACATCTTAAATAGTTGACAATTTATAGTTATGGCTATCATTGTTATTTATGCTCACTTTATGGGTTGGTTGTATGTTTTAATTTAGTCAAACTTAATATTTCTTTGGTATAGTTTCACTTCAATCATCAAATCATACTATGACTCAACATATACAGAGATTATTCCTACCGTCTGAGTCTATAAGGGATAACCTTATCAGTTGACTTACCTTTATTCCTTAGATTTATTTATCCAGTCTCAGTAATGTTGATCCTTTGGACTTATCAAGCATATGTAATGTTTTAAGTACACTTATAATTGAATATTCGAAAACCTCTTATATATCGTTTTAATCTTTACTGCTTATATTTCACAACCGTAGATTTGGACTCACTGAGCTGATAAACAGTTTGCTCATCCTTTTATAGACTGACAGATACATCCTTATTGCTTAAGATGAAGTAATTTGGTGAATACTAAATAAGCGTTTAGTTTCTATGCTGAAATTCTATCACCTATTGGATCACTAATGGTTTTTTGCTAACTTTCATCGAATAAAAATACTTGATTCACTACCTTCTAAATGACTGAGAGTAAAAACCTGATTTTGGAACATTATAATTAACTTATTTTTCAAGTTGTTATTCATCGAAGACTGACATCAGTTGGAGGAACAAAGGAAACCTGGGAGCACTGGACAGCTGTTTCGTCCTAGTATGGGACTCCTCAGCAGTGCGCACCCACGACCCCACCAGCAGGGATCGAACCCGCGACCTTCAGGTCCCGCGACCAGCGCGTTACCATTGAGCCACTGGGTCAGAATCCAATGCTCCATATTTCCAACTTCTGTTAGCTCACGATATAGCGCGAACCGCCACCCAATGTCATCGTTGAGTATTTGTCCTCACGGCCATCAGGCTTGACTCCACCGGTCACGACTTGTCATTGGAACTTCGGGAATACTTCTCGAAGCTAGTCACCAACGAGCACTAGTTCAATTAAATTTTGAGGGGGTTGTGGAGATTTGGAAATATTTCAAGTTGTTATTCATCGAAGACTGACATCAGTTGGAGGAACAAAAGAAACCTGGGAGCACTGGACAGCTGTTTCGTCCTAGTATGGGACTCCTCAGCAGTGCGCACCCACGACCCCACCAGCAGGGATCGAACCCGCGACCTTCAGTGGCTCAATGGTAACGCGCTGGTCGCGGGACCTGAAGGTCGCGGGTTCGATCCCTGCTGGTGGGGTCGTGGGTGCGCACTACTGAGGAGTCCCATACTAGGACGAAACAGCTGTCCAGTGCTCCCAGGTTTCCTTTGTTCCTCCAACTGATGTCAGTCTTCGATGAATAACAACTTGAAATATTTCCAAATCTCCACAACCCCCTCAAAATTTAACTTATTTTTAACATTTTTCAATTATTAAGACTAAGTTATCTATTGGTTGAAATTGTGTTTTCATCCAACAACAAGTGAAGACTAGTTTTTGAAGTGGAAATTCACTTTCAATCATCATTTTCATGGATTTGGGAATTTTGAATTGAATATCTTTAGCAAAGTAATATCCTTATTCAGTACTGTTTTTATAGCCAAATGTTACTGCAATGTTTCTCTATCGACATGAAGTAGACTTTCAGCTAGTGGGTTGCAAGTTCAGCCACTACTTCGTCTACTGACGTTTAGCCAATCATTAACCTTCAATTAATCGGCGTGGCTCATTGCCTATTGTACGAATGTGCACGAGGTTGCTGGGTGTATTCTGATTCGATATATATATATATATATATATATATATATATATATATATATATATATATATATGTCCCTGTGGGAATCAGTAAGAATGAACCTTGGGTGCATATAGCCGAGGAGTCTTGTTCTGGGACGAAACCACTAAGCTATGCTTCCAGGTTTTCACTGGTATTGTCCAACTGACTCCCATCCATGATATATATCAAATGTAAAGAATGAGTCTCTTCGATAACTCGAAGAATGGTGGATATCGGATTGAATGAACTCTCACCAAAACTTGAAATACGTCAAATTCCTTCTGTTTTATGGTTTTTGAGCTCAAGTCATGTACTGAATTGCTACTATTCGCACTATTTCAGAAATGATTTTAGTGAAAATAACTCGTTTTATTCTGGTCTCTATAAAGGGTTTTCTTTTTTCTTAAGAACTAATGTGGTAAATAATCTGAACCAGTAATCCAAAATTATTTCGGATCCCTGTAACGCAGTTAGTTTTGCAGTTACTCTAACTAGCCTCTTTTGATCACCAACCATGGGAAATCCTGAAAGCATAGAAACAGATTTTGCCACTATAACTCCTTTCAAGCTTACAATATTCTTTCTACATTTGGTAAGATTTGAAGGTTGACTAACAATGTCTTGTTAATAAAAAGCCACCGACTCCTTACTTGCATGTATCTAAAATCTTCAAGTTTGTTCATGATCATAATTACTGCTACTGACGTCCGTGATAGTATGGCTTAACACTACCTATATAATGAGTGCTGTACTAAATATGTTTGTCAAATGGTTCAATGGACATCCCTAAGCTGGGAGTGAAAGTTGACTCCCCTCTTGTCCTTAGTGAGGTGTTCAGTTACTAACACATCTAGAAAGTTAAAATTACTAAACGTGTTACGGTCAGCAATAAAAACAACAATCCTATCGCATATATGAAACGTACTTACTCATGTTTCGAATAACTTGAACATGATTTAGCGTCGACAAACGTATTGGTAGCATAGCTGAGTTTAACGAACCAAAATCTTCGATGCAATAAAAAAGGCATTAAAAAAATGAAGAAGAGTGCATGGAAAGACAAAACACACTTCTATAACACTCTTGCAACTGAAGCAGAAAAGGCTCCAGATAAGAGAGACCTGACAGCACTATATCGAAGAACCAGGTTACTGTCTGCGAGGCAAGAGATGAACACAGATAAAACCAATGAAAGATAGTGAAGGAAAGTTAGTTACCACCAAAGAGGAGAAACAAAGAAAACAATGGGCTAAACACTTCAAAACACTCTTGAATCGACCACCACCACCACCACCTGCAACTCGTCCAGAAATACAACCAGCAGCCCAGCCACACAACTATCAGTCAACACAAACTCTCCGACAAAAGCAGAAGGGAATTCCTGAACGCCACGCCATAAACCTGCTGAAATCCGGTAAAGCAGCACAACCAGATAGAATTCCTCTACAAGCATTGAAAACACATGCAGAAACATCAGCGGACATGCTCACACCACACCACAACTGCAGAAGGCTTGCAAAGAAGGAAGAAAGGGAGAAAAAAGGAAAGGTACCTGCCTATTGATTAGAAGAAGGACTACCTTGTCAAACTTCCAAAGGAGGGAGACCAACGTCTTTGCAAGAACTGACGCGGAATCATGCTACTGTTCACCTCAAGCAAAATATGATGCAGCATTATCCTGGAGAGACTAAACAATGCTGTTGATTCAAAATTGTGGCCGGAACAGGCTAGTTGGCTGGCTTCAGGAAGAACAAGTCATGTGCAGATCAAGTTGGAAATCTACGCTACGCATAATGACAGAACAGAGCATACAATGGCAGTCAACTGGATATTAACCTCACCTTCATCGACTTTCAAAAGACCTTCGACAGCGTCGATCGAGAAGTAGTTTGGAAACTGCTTACCTCAACACTATGCTTACAGTGACACAAAACTTCATCAATAACCTCATTCAACAACTATATGCTATGCCAAATGATGCTACATACAAAGTGAGTCACAATAGAAAGCTCAGTGATGCCTTCTAAGTGAAGACAGGAAGAAATAAGACAAGATTGCCACCCACTATCATAGACCATCTTCCTGATTGTGGTCAACTAGACTGGAGTGGATCATGCAACAGACAAATGTGAGGAGTGAGAGGATGGGCACACGCTGGTTGGAACGATGAAGAGAGCCTACACGATTTGGATTTCGCCACCGATGATGATTTATGTCAAATGTCGCACGAACTCGAAGATGTATAGGCGAAGAGCACCAAGTTATCAGAAGAGGTATCAAAGATGTGACTTCAGGTGAACATGGAGAAGACAAAGGTTTTTGGTGCTTCCGGGGGAATTCCATCTGGTTGTGCTGTTTTACCGGATTTCAGCAGGTTTATGGCGTGGCGTTCAGGAATTCCCTTCTGCTTTTGTCGGAGAGTTTGTGTTGACTGATAGTTGTGTGGCTGAGCTGCTGGTTGTATTTCTGGACGAGTTGCAGGTGGTGGTGGTGGTGGTGGTCGATTCAAGAGTGTTTTGAAGTGTTTAGCCCATTGTTTTCTTTGTTTCTCCTCTTTGGTGGTAACTTACTTTCAGTTCAGTACGCCCGTCCTGGATTCTTCTGCTAGCTACAACCAACCAAATTAGAATGACTGAAATGTTATCAAAAACCTTACAGTAGACATGCATTTCTTCTAATGATAGTATTTAGCTTCTCATGGTTCTGAAAGTATTCGGTTTCCTTTATTTCTAACTAGCAGACGTTTCTTAATCGTAGGTAGATAAAACCTTGTATGCATATATTTTAACTGATGAAATTAAATCAGTATTTCTGATTTTCAAGTCATGTGTATGCACTTACAACTGATAGTAACAGTCCATTATAAAAGCTCTAAACACTCCTTAGCTGTTGTTATGAATATGAGGTACATCCACATAGTTTTCTGATATTTTCTTATT